AGTGCCACATAGTAATAGGATCCAGACATACCCCTAACACCCCCACAACAAAACCCCCATGCTGAAATATGGCCCAGACACCCAGCACAGCCCATGCACGCCTCCACCACACCCCACCCGACAAACCCCCACCATACCACAATACGACCCAGACATCCCCCCTTAAATAGTCACCTCCCCCACACAAAAGCGCCAGTGATGTGCGGCAGACATGCCCCCAATGCATGCCAACAAACACCACCTGCCCCAATGCACCACCTGCCCCAGCAAAAACCCTATGTTTTCAGCTGGGGCCACTAGGCCTGCTGCTACCCCTTACACATGGGCGCTCTGCCTGCAGGACCACAGCCAAGGGGGTGAGGGCTCGAGCTGCTGCGCAGTGCTGTGGAATGGATTTGGGGACCCTCCCCCCAGGTTTGTCTTATTTGGACAGGCTAGATGGAGGGGGCGGTGTCCCATGCACCCCCCTCTCTAAACAGGGCATGTACCTGGGGCTGGTGTGCTATGAATGGCTTTTTTATGCTGGGGAGCTCAGTTCGCTCTCAGCTCTTCAGGCTGTGCCCTGGCATCGAGGCATGTCCCTGGGCAGTGCTGGGAAGCTGTAGCAAGGGCACAGGAGGGCACAACCCCCCCCACCACCTCAGCCATGCTCCCCACACACCCATAGAGAAGCCATGGGGTGCAGCGAGCACTTTTCCAGGCTGGTTCTTCCCCACCTGTGCCCCACTTCCAGCCACCGGAGAAGAGGCCACTAATGAGGTGGAAAGCTGGCAGCTCTCGGGGCTGCCAGCCGGGGCACGGACTGGGTGCCAACTTGCAAAGCATTCCCTGCGTCAGGGCCAGGGAGATTTACGGCTGCACAGAACAATGGGGCCAGGAACTGGGGCAGAGGGGAGTGGGAAGGTGGCCCACAAAGCAGGAGGCAGCAAGGGGAACGCTAGTTCCCATGCAAGGGAGATGAGCGGGGTGGTAGCTGGCCTGGGGTCAGGGATGGCAGGCAGTTTTCCCTCCTTGCCAGGGCAGAAAACCCACTTCTCTCTGCAGGTCCTGAGAACAGCCACGAGCAAAACCACATGGGTGACATGCTTTACCCAAAGGCAAGCCAGAAATCAGCCCCGACACAGCCAGCGTCATCCCTCAGCCTCAAACTACCCGAGTCCATCCGAAGCAGACTTCAAGGGGAAGGTTGAGCATCTGGCAGAGGGCAGATGGCAAGCAGGCTGCATCGGTGGGAAAGGAGACCACAGAGGCGCTCCAGGACGAGGCTTCCTTCCATTTATTTACAAATAATAAAAAGCACAATAAATACAAAAGAACCTTAAAATACAAGCCCTCTGGATAGGCAGGTAGGTAGGTAGCTTGCTCTCTCCGTTCCTCTTTGCCTACAGACTGACTCAAAGCCTGGCCAGTGCAACTTCTCTCAGCCAGGCACGGCCCACCTGGAGCAGGACAGATCTCTTGCCACCTCCCACGCTGCCTAGGAGCACAACAGAGCATTGCAAAGGGAAATAGAGACTAGGATGCACCAGCTGGGGAGAAGGCTCAGCCACTGGCTTCAACAGGAGGCCGACATCCTGAATTGAGGCCCCGGGACAAGACGATTTTCTGCCCAGGAGCATTAGCACCATCCAGGCAAGGCCAACCCTGTTGACTCCTCGGTTATCCTGGCAAGCGGCGGGCTGGGGAGTGTGGGACCTACTAGAGGAGCACGCTGATGCCATGCTACTGTCTCTGTGCAAAGGTGTGCGGGCAGCATGCACACCTTTGCACAAGGAGTGTTTGCATGTGCTTGGCAGCTGCATTGTTTCAAGGGCTCCTGAGGCCAGTGAGTTAATGGCTGGCTTTGGCAGAGATGCCAGCACCTCTTTTGCCCCCTGCTCTCCATCGGAGTGGCGCCCGGCTCCACGTGACCCCGGGTGCTGGAGTCAGCAGTTCTAGCTGCACCCCCAGCTCTGCCGCTCCCATGGTGTGGAAGGCAGGGCTGGGTTGCTGATCCCTCTGCTGCTTTGACATGAATGGAGGCGGCCGAATGTTTAGACTGAGGCCGTGAAGCTGACCAAGCCAGCCGCGGCATTAGGCTAAAGCATTTGAACAGCGTAAGGCTCCCAACAATGCTCTGTTTAGCCAGGCCGGGATTAGACCGTTAAGACCCTGGTGTCATGAACAAAGCTGGGTGCCGGGGTTAAAAGAGAAAGCCAGGCTGGGATGCATTTTCCTGCTCTCAACACATATCATCTCCGGGCCAGCGCACAGCAGCTTCGGTGTCAGCAAAACCCCCGGGACCAAAGGAGACTAGCGTGGGATGAGATGCAGGGCTGGGGGCTCTGAAGGGGCACAGGGGGGTATCTGGGTGCTAGCACCCCAGGGAGGCTGGAGTGGGCTGTGGAAGGCCCCAGGATGGGCTCATGGGGTTGCAAGGTAGAGGCAGAGCTGCTCCCCGGAGGCTCCTGACAGGCTGTGCCACCCGGTCTCGGGGGCAAAGGGCCCATCTCTGTGTCACCAACCACCGCAGCGGGGAGCAGTGTCTGCCCACGCAGAGGCAAAGGGGTTAGCTACAGGCTTGGCTCCAAAGGGTGGGGACTCAAGGGCCACCTAATGCTCAGAGGTGCCTCTGGGAAGAGCCTAGCAATGGGGGGCATGGCAGAGTTGGGGTGAGGGGCAGCCCAGGTAGGAGCTTTGTGCCCATAAGGAGCTGGGGGTGGGCAGGGACACAAACACCCGTGGGATAAGCGTAAGCCCGAGCCTCACGGATGAGGTCCATAGCGGGTGGTTGGGGGGGTCCCATCCTGTCTCCCTCAGGGGCCTAGTTAGAGGCTGCCCCCAGGACAGGGGAGGCCTGTGCTATGAAGCCATTTTCCTTGGGGGCAACTCCATGAGCCTTAAGGGACCTTCCCAAACCTTTGCAGACCAAGACCTCCTGCAGCCTGCCCTGGTGCCGAGGGGGTGCCGGGCAGCGGCTGGGTCTCACACACCCATCTCCTCTAGGGTCCCCAGGAGAAGCCAGAGCCTGCCGCGGGTGCCGGGTGCCAGGGCCAGATCACAGTGTGGAGAGCACCGGGGCGGCGGGTGGAGGGGCCTCACTTGCGGTGGTGCATGTCCTCCATGCTGACCCGGCCCCACACGCCCACCACGAAGGTCTCGATTTCGCACTCGTTGCTGCCTCGTGTGATGCGGAAGTAGCCGTCCTCTCCCCAGTCCTTGCCCCAGGAGTTGGCAGCGATCTGTCAGGAAGGAGGAAAAGACAGTCAGCCACGGATGTCCCAGGGCAGAGCCCTCTCCACGATGCCCATTGTTTCCCCCGCTCACGGCACCCACCTTAGGGTCAGTGCCACACAAACCTGCTGGCACCTGACCTTGACGCTGAGCCTCGTGGCTTCTAGCCCACTAAGACATGCGTGTCCATCCTCATACATCAGCCCTCCCTCGACTGATGGCAAGGGCAAGACCACAAGCCCAGGGCAAGTGCCTCTTCAAGTGACCAGGGTCTGCGAAGCCTTGCAACATCATGAAAATACCCCCTAGTACACGGGGAGACAGAGCCTCAAGCACCTGGCCATTGCCGTGTCCCTCCCGGCCACCCAGGGCTCCTGCAGTCTGGCTTGCTCTGCATTTCCAATGCCTGAGGGCACGTTGATGCCTGCTACCACTGCCCAGCCCCTGCAGCCAGCCCCAGCAGAGGGGAGGCATTTACAAGGGCACCTCTGCCCGGGATCGTGGGCACCTGCATTAAGGAAAAGGAGCTGCGCTCACCCAGTACTTCTGGCTGCGCCCATCAGGCATCCGCTCTTCTCCCCACCTACAGCGGGAAGGAAAGGAGCAGGTCATTAGGCAGCTGGCAGAGATACTCCCCTCTCCCCTCCCTGCTGACTGACCATGGACCTTTCCTCCTTGCAGGCAATGAGGTTGAAGCACGGCCCTTGCCGGGTCAGCCCACAATGCAAGGGCAACTGCCCACGTGCCCCCTGTCTCCAAGGCACCCCAGCCAGATGGCTCCAGGGGCCGGATCCTGCCTGGGCACATAATCCTGGAGCCACCAGAACGATGCCTGGAGCCCAGTCTGCTGTTCCACGGCTAGAAGCTGCTGTCAGCGCCTCTCCCGCCAGCCAACGGAGATAGGGCAAGTGGAAAAAAGTCCTGCACTCCTTGTTTGTCTTTTTCTTGGCTTCAGGCTCTTCCTGCCATGAGAGGGGCTGTGACCCCTCCGGGAGTGTTTGGAATGGATAACCATGGCAATCCTCCGGTTGTCTCCCTTCAGGAGGCCGGGAAGGAGCTGCAGCGGCTCCTCAGTGCCAGGCGTTGTTTAGCGACATTGCTTAGAGGAAGGGCGAACCTTCAGGTCATGGGCCTCCCAAGGGGCCCAGCTCGAGCTCGCAGCTGGTTGCAAAAATGCAGCCAGGTATATTTAGCTCTGGGGCTGGGCAAGTCCAGGGTTGGGGCGGAGAGGGCCGGGAATGGAGCATGGATGTACTACACAGACAGCCCTACTCAAGCCCCAGGCCCCTGACCCAGAGCCCACCGTGGCCAGTGCCCCATAACTCCTGACCGCAGTCACACCACGAGCTCCCTTCCAGCTCCACCGCTAGCCCAGTGCTGGCCTGGCTGAGAACGCCACACTCAGGCATCGGTGGCCAAAGCCCTTGTTTGCTCTGCAGCCCCTTTGCACCATGGCTGGAAGGCTGGGGCAGGACAAGCCCATGGGTACGGCCAGCTGGGGCTTGGCACGAGGTACCTGAACATGCCTAGAAACATCAGACAGGAAGAGACCTCCTAGGCCAGTAGACACCAACCTTATTAACTGGCGCGGCACAAATTAGCCCCCCCTCCCTGAACTCCAATTCCCTTTCACTGCCCGATCTGCTGCTCTGCTTTCTGCTCCCTGCCCTGTCTGCCACTGTGCTGCCTGGTCCCCTTCCCAGTCAGCTGCATGCCACGCGCAGAGGCTGCCCATGCCCCTGGTGGCACAGCGAGACCACCCCTGTCCTAGGCCACTGAGCCCAGTCTCCTGCATTCGAAGCCCCTGAGATCATCACTTCCAGACTTTGCTCACAAGGCAGGAACACAGAAATCCCCAGCGCCCCATGGCGCAATGCCGCAAGCCAAAGCAAGGGAGCCGAGGGCACTGCCACCATAGGGTAGGAGTTGGCAGTTGCCCTTGGCCACACCACAGAGGAGGGCAGAGCCCCCACACTCTGTGCCAGCCTAAGGGGACCCCTTCCTCCCTGACCTCCAGTTTGGGAGAAGAACCAGACCCTCCAGCCAAGGGCCTTGGAGACCTCCAAGTACCTGCAGGAGCATGGTCAAACTTCCCAGCCTCAGGACCCGAGACTTTGGAGGACGATGGACCATGCCCCAAAAGCCAGTAGCCTTTGTGAGGGGGGAGCAGGATTCCTCCCTGCCCCCCCAGGCAAGCCCCGACACCTGGGCCAGGCAACATCCTGCTCCCAAGAGCCAGGCCTGGCCAGCCCAGATGGGAGGAAAAAGCCAGCGGCACTTTTCTGCAAAAACACTGCTCAGGTGCCCCCCACCCACAGCACCCAGCAAGGCGGCCAAGTCAGCCAGCGGGGAGCGGGGCCACGCAGGTCACGGCGTGCTGGGGCAGTGTCCGGGGGGGAGGGGGAGGCTGAAGCCAGGACTCGGATGCTGTTCTTGGCGCTACCTGCCGAGCTGGCTCAGACCCTCCCAGGAACAGGACGTTCCAGGCTCCTCGGGATTTGTCCGGTCTTGTTTCCCAGCACTGGCCCCAGAGGAGATGCCTTTGCAGCCAAACAGGCCTCGCAGGGAAGAGGTGGCCCTGCTTTCTGGCCCTGCTACGCTGCCCGAGGGACCCTGGGCAAGGGATTCGCACCCAGACCCGCGCTTCTGTGGACTGCAGTGGGGTCTGGCTCTCTCCGGGTTCCCTGCAACACCCCTCGCTCTGTCTGTCCGGTTTGTTCGGGGTTGAGCTCTAGGGGCCAGGCAGGGACCGTCTCTCATTGAACACGAGGACAGGTCCTGCACCAGCACCCTGGGCTCAGGGGGGTGGGTTTAACCACCGCTGCAATGCGAAGTCCCCCTGGATCCCCTGTCTTCCCCATGAGAACAGCTGCCCCCTGCTTTGCTGCTCTCTGGACAGGGTGGGACTGAGCGGGGATGCCGGGAGACTGACTCAGAATAGAAACAGCCCAAGGCCGGGACCTGCACCCTCTCCCGGTCCTTTGCCCGAGGAAGGGAGTGCCCTTCCTCCACAGCAGGAAAGCCCGTCTTCTCCAGCACACTCCTTCCCAGGGCCGTGCCTGGCTCCACACAGCCCAGAGCCTGGCATGGGGGGCTGCAGGAGGAGCCACGTTGGGGCAGGGACTGTGCAGCTAGAGAGGGGCCCATCAGTGCCACCACCAGCCCCCTGGCAGGAGCCAGGGACTTCGTGCCCAGAGCCCACAGGACAAGGACCCTTCCCCAGGGAGGCAGCATGCCAGTGCAGGAGGGATCCCTCTCCTCTCCATCCCACACTGAGCAGTGCCCAACCCCTCACCCTGGGCCCAGTTGAGAGGCTGAGGCACAGAAGAGCAGGGGCTGCGGGTGGGATTGAGGGGCATTGGCGGGGTAGCAGCGGGAGCCCCGAGGGGATAGAGGGTGGGGATATGGATGAGGGCAGAGAGGAGCTGGCAGAGCTGCTTGCAGCTCCCAGCCGACCTAGCCGAGGGCACGGTGAGGCAGGCAGGCACTGTCTCGCAGCCAGTGCCACGCTGCCGGCCACTTCCTGCCACGAGAACCTCGCCCACCCTGAGGTTTCCTTAGAGCAGAGGAAACCGATCTGAATTTCCCCTCCCTTGGCCTGCATCAAAGGCCATTTGAACCGGCTCTGCAGGGGTCTGGACCCAACCCGGCCTGTAGGAAGCACTGGGCAAGTCTGGGGCACTGGGAGGCTGGCAAAGACTCAAGTGCTGGCCTGTGGAGCCTGGGCAGGCTGGGAGTGGTCTTCCCTTGTAGACTACTCTGCCTTAGGGCCAAATAAAGAGCCAGGTCCTCACCCCCATCTCTGATCCCAGAGGGGAGAAGGCCGGTCCAGCTGCAGTTGTGCCCCCGGCCCCTGCCTTTCTCGTGCAGCCCCACGAAGCACTTCCACTTCTCACCCCGCAGTCAGTGCCAGCCTGGCCATGCCAAGCTGCACCAACACCCACGGGACAGGCTAGGGACCCCCTGGGAAGCCCAGCACCCTCACTCCCTGCCTGGGTTCCCCGGGACCTGCACAAATCGCAGTGCCCGCCGTGATGCCACAGACAGCCCAAATCACACAGACTGCCACACGCCCCAGCTTATGCACAGACACACCTTCAGGACGCACCCCGACGCACACCCTCCGTACACACAACCCGACATACGCCACACACACTCGCAAGCACACGTTCCCCAGCCCCTCCAGCACGCGTCTTCTTGACCACATGTCAGTCCAAGACCGCCAGTAGGTGCAGGTATGCACACACAGACACATGCATGCAGGCAGAGACACACATGCCCCAGCATGCACAAACATGCCCGTGTGCATTCACACATGCACACACACATACACAAGCATGTACACAAATGCAAATGCTTGCCAAGGCCCTTACCCTGTGAGCTTGACCGAGTGGGTGCCGTGTCTGCGGTGGTGCTCTGGCTTCCTGGCTGCTACAGGCGTGTGCCGATAGATGCCACTCTTATACATGAAGAAATCCTCATGCACTTCCATGATGGCTGCAAGCCAGGGGAGGAGAACAGTTTTATTCTGGGATCACTGGGGAAATGGGCCAGCTACAGCCCTGGGAGCAGTTACGTCTGCTGCGGTGGGGCAGGTCAGGATAGAGCACTGACGCAAGCTGGCAAAGATCCCTTCACACCAATGAAGTCTCCTCCAGGGATGACTTTGGTCCTTCAGGCCAGACTTCTGCCTCTGCTAGCCCCTAGCAAGGGGAGCTCGGGGGCAGGTCGTTGGGTGACTGCTGATCTTAGCTGGGGAGGGTTTGCTTGGCCCCTGTCCACCTGGACTATTGCTACATTCCTGCCTAGGGAGATCTCACCAACGGAGGGCATGCAAATGAAAAAGCAGCAGCTGGGATGTCGAGATCAAATCTCAGCGGTTAATAATTGACGCTTCCCTAGTGGAAAACGGCCCCTGATCATGACGACAATGCGACGGGGCAGCCTGGGGCCAGCTGCCATTAACCAGCTTCAAGGAGGTTTTAATCTTGGTTCAACAAGCAGGGGAAGTTTACTGAGCAAGAAGTCTGGTGAATATTAAACAGCAGAGTCTTTCCAGGGGCTGCAAGCTGGTGTTTCCCACTGCATCTATGGTCAGAGAGGAGGAAGGGAGGTTGTGATGCAGGCTGGCATCACATTGCACGGGATTGATCGCCCCTGGTGCTTACAATACGGCCTGAGCTAGATCGATCGGTAGATAGGGAGAAAGTGCTCTTGGCTATATATTATATGATAAGCACTGAAAAAAGCCTTGGCCTAGACCCACCTGCTCTTGGCTATATATTGGCTAAGTGCATGATTTGTTTAACTGCCAGCTGTGCGGTAGACAAGCAGCTGGTTGCTGGTCCCAGCTCCACCCCAGCCCAACCACACCTGAGTCTTGACCTGGCTCCGGTGCAATGCGGGCGGGGGGGGGGCTGGGCCCAACAAACAGCTGATTGTCACCCCCAGCCCCAGCACCGCGCTGGAGGCAGTGAGGATCGCTACTATGATCTCCATGGAGCCATCCCACAATCACACAGCACATATTACTAAGCACGACCTGGAGATACTCCTCACCTGAAAAGTCCTAACGTGGCCAGCATGCAATAGCACCAAGCACACATTTTCCTGCTTGCAGACACAGATGTTTGTGACAAGTGCAGTTAATGCGTCCTAAGTGTAACATGTGACAGCACCCTGAGAAGCCCTAAAAGCATACGGCAGGCTGTGCTTGTAGGCAATGAGCAGCGTTTTACTCCGAGGCCTTTTTTTTTTTAGGTCTTGAGGCTGTGCACTCAAACAGCGTGCTGCAGCTAGGGGCAGAGAGAGAATTTGGGAAGGGATGCCAGCACAGTCAAAAGGCCTGAAGTCCAGCTGTCCTGCAACCTGCCCCACTCTAGGACTCAGCCCCTTGCTATTGCTACGGTATTATTCATATCGTGGTAGCAGCTAAGAAGGGATCATAAATCCCCTGTTGTGCCAGGTGTCTTATAAGCACCGAACAAAGCCCTGGCCTAGACCCACCTGCCCTGGGCTGTGTCTACACCTCCTCCCCAATTTCCACCCTACTCTGATTCCCCAAATTAGGGAATGCCCCTTCAGCACAGCCACCTCACATTGCAAGGCCCAGCCTGGCCTGTTCTCTGCCTCTTCGGTTCATTCATCACCCTGGCACCTCGTGCTTCCGGCAGGGCGACAGGACTATTTATTCTCGCTTCCCCTGCTACTGGGTCCCTCCCCATTTTGCCACCTGTGGCTGCTCGGGCACAGTGCCGGCCCGGCACACACCCGTCCGCGATGCAGCCAGCGGCAGAGGCTGCCCTGGAGGAGCTGCGCCCACCCTGGGTGTCTGGCTGGGAATGGCTGCTCCCAAAATAGAAAGCAAAGGAAAAGCCAAGAACCAAAGGAAGCCCGGCCTCTGGGAGACAGGGTCACTCGTGTCCTGGGCAGGGCTAGTTGTGGCTGGGTGTGGGGTGAGCTAGCAGGCCTCTGCGGTGGCCTCCTGCTGGGCAGGGTTGGGGGACAGGGCCAGTGTGGATGGGGTGTCTCCTACCTTGTACAGGGCCATTCTCCATCATCTCCTTCATGATATCCTTCTCCTGCAAACACAAAGCAGGGAGGGTCACCCACTGCTAGGGCAGGAGCCCCTGGCAGACCCTGGGCACCACCCTCCCCTAGTCCTGTAATGATGCCGAGGAGGGGCATCTGGGGCCACTAAGTGCTTGCATCCAAACAGCCCCTTTGAGTGCCTTGCCAGATGCCAGCAGGATGGGCTCTGACCCCCTTTGTCAAAGCAACTCCTCCCAAAGCCATGTGCTGGCTCACTCTCACATGCACGCACACACGTGTGCAGCACTCGCTACCGTGCACACAGATGCTCATGCAGCGCCCTGCAGGCACGCAACAGGCATACACGAGTGCTTGCAAAACATGTGAACTGGCACGTTCACAAGGGCACAGAAGCCCTCGCATCCGTACCCACGCTTATACATAACCACGCGGCCCTTCGTGTGCCCACAGGCACTCGTGTGCCCTCTCTGACCCACGCTGGCAAGCCTGTGTGAGCCCGCCAGTGTGCAGACTTGCTTGCACATGCACTTCCCCAATGCGGGGCTCTGCACAGCTCCCCCCTCCACGGCTGTGGGCCAGGCACTCACACTGGAAGCCAGGCGGTAGGCAGGGGTGGACTGATAGATGTTGTTGGAGTGGGTGTAGGGGTTTGGGCAGTGCTGGGTGGCTTGTCTCTTCCCTCTGCCCGTGGAGCGACTGTGCATCATGCAGGGCCGGCCCGCGGGGGGGCTGTCCTTCTCCTGGCTGGTGAAGGGGTAGCACTCCTCGCTCACCACCCTGGAAAGCGAGACAAGGCATGGGGGTCAAACCGTGGTGCACAGCAGCTCCCATTGTATCTGGGGTCCCCCCAGCACTGCAGGCACTGTCCCCACTCCTGGGCAATGATGGCATCTGGAAGGCCAACCAGGAGGGACGTGCTCTATAATGACCTCTCGAGAAGTATCCATCGCTGGTCAAGATGGCCACCCAAGTTAGCCACCCCACAGCTTGGGGGAGCCCATGCTACCCCCCGTTTCTCTTTCAAGCTCTGCCCATGCCCCCCAACCCTGAGCCCCAGCTCCCCCGGTCTAGGCTCCCCCGGCCCCCACAGCTAAGCCAATGCTTTTCAACCCCAAATCACGATCCAAGCCCTACACCACCCTGCTGATGCCTTCTTACTCTGCCCTCCAGCCCCTGTGCCCTCTCCTATGCCCAAATCTCTGCCCAGCCCCAGGTAAGAAGATGCTCACCCCCTCCGGCGCAGGTACCACCAGGCCCCGTCGACCCGGCCCCCGCTGCAGCCCCGCTGGTTGCGGGTGTCGCAGGAGATCAGGTTCTGAGGAGACAGGGCGGGCGCCATGTGCCCCATGGAGTGGATGGAGATCCTGTCCGAAGCCACGGCTGGGGGGAAGCCGACGTGGTTAGAGGGCTCCTCGCACAGCCGGTACAGCCCATCTCCCCTGCCCCGTCTCCCATGCGGGAGGCTCTCCTCCAGCCCCCTCCCAGCCTCCAGCTCAGCTCCCGGGCATCTCACCTGCTGTGGAAAAGGCCCAGGAGCCAGCACAATTGCCCTGGTCCAGCGGCTCATGGATCAACCCGGGCCACTTGTGGGCTGCGTTGAAAGAGCTGGGGAGCACCTCGTTGGTGTCCATGCTCATCTGCAAAGGCAACGACATGGGAGGTGGGGGAGTCTCAGCGAGGCCTGGGGGCTTTGCACAAAGGCAGAGGGGCTGGAAGGTGCCCCAGGGCCAGGGGCGGTAATGCCTCCTGCTCATCTCTTGCCCCCAGTGCTCCCAGCTCCTCCACAGAAGTCATCTGCAAGTCCCTGAGCCAAGGACCTTGAGGCAGACGACGGGAACTCAGGAGCTGCCAGACTGCTCCAGTCTCCGGGAAGGCCCTGGCAAACTGCTTGGCATCTCTGGCGCAAGGAAGGATGCCGCTGCATTTCCCAAGTGGCTTGGGCACGCACCAGCCTCTGCCTCTCAGGGTGGCTTTCAGGCTCAAAGGTACTGGGAAGCCTGAGGGCTTGGCTACAGGACAGAGCATCCTAAGTCACTTGGGTTCTTTGTGCCTCCACTCCCCGCCACCCCGCCAGCAAGATGGGGTAAGGAGCCTTCCTCTGCCACGCCCTTACTTAGAAGACTGCAGAGAATTGGGAATTGGGAGCTAGTCCCTAAGTCCCCGAGACAGACAGAGGGTCTGCAGAGGTCGCCTACTGCTCCGCACGCAAAGTCCATTGTTTGGCTCTCCTCATTCACGCAGGCCTCTGCTTGCAGACCCTGGTGAGCGCTCCATTTGCAGGGCTGCGGGCTGTCACCCCGCAGCTGTGCAGCACCTAGTGCCATCTTGCCTCCTGGCTCCCAGGCAAGCCTGTGATACTAGGCACAGGCCTCTTCTGCAGACTGCCTCAGCTGCTGAGGGCCCAGCTCCTCCTCCCACTCCTGCACCCCGGGGAGCATCTCACTTGGGGAGCGGCTTGTCCTCCCCTTCCCCTAAACTCGGCCAGTCCCTAAGTATATGCCACAGGGGTGCAAAGCGGGTGTTGGAGGAGCACTGCTTCCCCGCTGACCTGTGGGGCCAGCAAAGAGGCTGCCTCTCATGTCTGGGCTCCCTCCTCCTGGGTCTCCCACAGAGCCAGCCAAAGGTGCCCTCCAAGACGAGCAAAGCCAGGCCAGGGTAAAAACGTCCACCCTTGTCCTAACACCTTGAGGAGGCCAAGGGTCCCTGAACGGGGAGGGCTGGAAGCAGCCGAGACCCAGCCACCCCCAGGGCCGTGGGAACAGGGCTGCAGCTCCCCGCCCAAGCCAAAAGCAACTGGGCTCACGCTCTCTTTTTTTGGCACAGCGAAAGGAGGCTCCAAGCCAGCCGCATGGGGAGCCCAGCCCTGCCCCACAACTGCGGGTTCACAGCAAGGCCCTTGAGCAAAGGGGTCGTGGGAGCAGAAACCGGCAGGATCTGCTGCAGAAGGGGGTCCTCTCCCCACTGGGCTGGGGGCTGTAGCATGAGCAGCGCATGCCCACCTTGGGCATCTGCTCCAGGTGCCGTCAGTGCCGGGAGGGGCTGGGCACGGCTGTGTGGACGATGCCCCATCGCAGCCCTCTCCCTGCCAACCAGGGCCGCCGCATCTGGGTCATGCAATTTCAGGGTACCCCTAAAACAGAAGGACGCAGACTTTCCTGCCTGGCCTGCAGCCTGCTGCCTCCCCGGCTACATTTCCACCTCTTCCGGCCCTGGCTTATTGCAGCCCCCGGTCGGGTCAAATCGAAGCATGGAGAGACAAACAAAAAGGCAGAGCACACAATAGCCCGAGCTGAAATAACGTCCTGTCCTGTCCTGTCCTGGACGGCCTGGGTTTCCGGCTGGCCTTGTCCCTCGCTCGGGGACAGAGGGGGAAAAAACAGCCTCTGGGATCATGCTTGGAAAACCTGAGGCGTGACAGCACCGAGCTCCCCCTTGCACCGTGCAGGGGCAGCCTGTGCAGCAAACAGGACAGTGCTGGGCGAGAGCAGAGCCCCCCCTTTGCCCCCAGCGGACGGGCTGCTGGAGATGCCCGGGCACAGCCGGAGGTGGCAGGGCTGGGAGGTGTCTGGGGTCCTGGGGCATGCGGCCAGGCTCCCGTTGCTGACTCGGCAGGCGCTGGAGTGGGGGGGCTGCAGGGCCCTGTTTTCCCATGGGAAAGAAAATCCCATCCTGGGACTGTGAGGCTGAATGTGCTGAGCCGGTGGTTTTAAAGGAAAGGGCCCCGCTGTCCCTCTTCTGATGAGCCCCTGCCCCCGTCTCTCTCCCTTCTCCCCCCGAGGCTGCCCCCCTTTCGCCTGTCCCACTGCCATGCAGAAAACAGGGCTGCGAGCTGATCCTGAGCCCTTCCCCGCTCTGGTGCATGGGGTTACTGCATCCCAGTACACGCAAGGTCATGCGTGTGCCTCCACATGAGCAAGCCGCACACTCGTGTGAGCTGCTGCATGTTCAGCCATGCATGTAGATGGTGCTCACATGCATGGTGGGGGGCTGTGGACATGCGCCCTCGGCATGCAATGATAACATCCCCGCTCTGGGCACTGGAAGGCTCTTCAGGGCCTGCTCTCCAACCTGGGAGCTTGCAGTACAGTCGGCTTGCTGCTGGATACATCTGGCATGCCCAGCATTTCTGTAGGGGCCTCAGCAGGCCTGCAAAGCATGAAGCCACTGCCTTCGCCCCTGGCAGCCTAACCTCGCTCAGTTGGGCAAGCTGGTTAGGTCCAGAGGGGACCCCAGCTCAGAGCCCCTGGAGGGCCATGGTCATGTCACTTAATCTGCCCTGAGTCTAGTTCCCCATGAAGCCAGGGGTGAGGCAGTGCTCCCGCACCTCACAGCAGCATGGAGTGACACGGGCCACCTGAGTGCAGAAACATGCTTCGAGTCCCGACGTCTCAGGGACAGCAGCCCCAGGCAGGGCCCAGGTCCCCCAGCCCAAGTAACCCCCATCCACCCCCGGGCAGGGGTGCGACCAACTCACATGCAGCTCGTTCATGTTCATGACGGTGGTGGAGGGGCGGATGGTGCCCAGGCGGTAGCGGATGCCCTCGTCCAGTGTCATCCCCCAGAAGCGGCTGTAGTTGGCGGCTTTCCACCTGCCGGATGACCCCGGGGAGGTGAAAGCAGAGCAGCGCTGAGGCACCCAGCCTGCCCTGGGCACCACGACCAGATTCCCTCACGGGGAGGGCAGGAGGGTATTGATGTCATGATGGCGATTGCGCCAACTCTGGGCACTGCCACATTCGAGAAGCCCCGGACCTCTCTCCTCCAAGCTCAGCTCAGCTCGCGGCGGGGTAGCCAACTCCAAGCAGGGCCATGGCTCAGAGGAGGGAAGGAGCTGCCGTCTGCTGAGGTCTTTATATCCCCACTCAGTACCAGAGCCCCTGGACACCTCACCCTTGGCCCCAGTGCCTCTCTCACAGGGGGCCAACTAAGGGACAGGGCCAAGATAAGGGTGAGTATTCACAGATTTTCCAAAAAAAAGGGTTTCCTCCCAAATCAGAAGGCCCATTTTGCAGGTGCCTTGTGGCTGGACATCTCCAGCCCAGCACCATTGCAAGCACCCCTTGCAGTTCTTACCCGTAATCCGCTCTGTTGACGGCCTCAATCATCCTGCCGTCCATGAGGCAGGCAAGGTCCTCACAGTCCCACCGGCCATTGGAGCCGCAGGTGCTAGTGGAGGCGAGAGAACGGGGTGCTGAGTTGGATGCACATCAAAGCATGACCCGGGGGCTGGCGGGCATTGCTGTGTAGGGTTTCCTTGCACCAGGGGTGTGTTGTGGGCTCCAGATGGTGTGTTGCCTCCCACCCACATCCCCTCCAAGCACACGGCCACCGCAGTCACGAGTGTGTCGGTGGCATGAGCTGGGGCGGGTCTGCTACACAGTCAGGAGTTCGAGAGGGGCCACTGGGCAACACCACGGTGCATGGACTGATATCAGCTCTGCAGTCTGCCTGCAATCCCCTGGGAAGCTCTCCCCTTCCCACAGTCAACTGAGGGTCTCCCCTAGCCCTGCATCTACCCGCATCCCATATCTCTGCCGGCTGCTCAGAGCCATGGGATCGCAGTCCAGAGAGACCCCAAAGTCAGGGCACACTCTGGCATGCTGACCTGCGGGTCCCTGCTGGCGTCCAGGAGGGCAAGGGAGCCTGGGATGAAAAATAATGAGCTGGAAAGTTAGCCAGGCTTCTGCTAACATCAACAAGCTCTGGGCTGGAGCCCAGACTGGGGAGGGGAAGACTCCAGGCCGCTGTTCCTGCAGCAGAACGAAGGTGTCTGCCTGAGTCGAAGCTGCAAGCCCCACAGAGCTGGGATTAGAGAGGCCCAAGGCAGGCACAGGGAGGGATCAGGGCCGAGGAGGGGGCATCGCTGTGCGTCCTGCTGCTGCGCTGCTCCCAGGGGACCTCCCCGCCACATACCTTCCCACTCCCACTTTGCCATGGGCAAGCCCAGAGCTGAGCTGCCCCCAGCACTAATTGCTCGCAGCACCTCCTGGGATGTTCTCCAGGCCCCGCTGGGCTCTGCTCCTTCCCCATTTGCAAGCCTGTGCTTCCCTTTGAGGAGCTGGCGTGGCAGGCACCAATTAAAGTCAGAGCCAGGCAGGATCTGGGGCTGCAGGGAGCCCCTTGCCAGGCACTGCCAACGGGGACTGCCAGTCTATCTGAGCCTTTCTTCCCCTGGCAGCTGGCCAGACTGGGGAGTGGGAAGGCAGGGAGGTGAGACATGTCCTCTGCCCCTTGCCCTTCATGCCAGCGTGCTGGGCTTTAGTGGACCACTGTGCCCAGGTCCTACCCCGCCCCCCTGCCAGGCTCACACCACTGGACAGCTGACGTGCTTGGCAGCCTGGGCAGGTGGCAGCGGGCACATGGAGAGGACAGCACGAGTATCCCACACAAAGGTACATCCATGTGCGCACACACACGTTCATATGTGCACATTTATGCATGTGCACACCTTCATCTGTGCAAATGCATGCACAGACACGCACTCACATATGCACATACACATTCATATGTGTGCACACATGCATGCACACAGACGCACGCTCATATGTGCACATACATATGAATATGTGCACACATGCATGCACAGACACGCACTCACATATGCATATACACATTCATATGCGCGCACACACGCATGCACACAGATGCACACTCACATGTGCACATACATATGAATATGTGCATGCACTTGCATGCGTGCGTATGTACACCCCTCCCCGCCAGAGGAGAGACAGTGCAGCTAGGAACACAGCCTGGAGGGAGATGAGCTGCATCCCCCACTCAGGAGAGGTGGAGAAAGGGGCTCCTGTATCTCCTCAATGCCAAGAAATGCTGCTCTCCGTCCACCCCACCCCAGGCTCCCTGGGGCCGAGGGATGTGTGGGCGCCCAGGCAGAGGCCTCTAGCTAGAGCTATGCACTGCATAGAGGGTGGAGACAGAAACCATCCACTCCAGACACCCCCACCCCAACCCACAGCCAGCAGTTTGCCCTGGGACAGTTTGCAGCTGGGACCAGGTCCCTCGGGATGGCCACCCTGGGGGCAGCACTGCCCCTGGGGCCCAGCATTTCTCCTGTGCAGGATCACCCAGGATGGCGGGGCATCCTCTCTCCCCGCAGCCTGTCGGGTGCTCAGCCCGTGCCTCGGGGCTGGAGCACCAACACCCATGAGGTAATGGAAAAAGCCAGAGTTCAAATTCCAGTGCTTCTAAGATGCCTTATAAAAGCCCCCTCTCTCCCCCCTCCAGTGTTGCTGTTTGGTTTCTATGCGCACCACGCTGGCAGTGCAGCACCGCAATATTAACCCCTACGGGCTGGGAACAGCCCATGGGCCAGATCCGGTGCCACCCGGCAGCACCCGCAGCCGTGGAGCAGGAAGCAAACGGGGGCACCATGCCCCTTCCCCGATGCCCTGAGTAGCAAATGACTTCCCTTGAGACCCACGCTGGCTCGTGGCATGGCTGTGGTGGCCGTGTGCTGGGAGGGAGTACAGGTGGGCAGGGACACGCGGTCTGAAGCTCACAACATGCCCCGGGTGCACAGCAGATGCAGTGGGACAGGCGGGGCTGGAAGGAGGGGGCCTGGATCTGTTTCCATGAAACCAGTGTAAATCTGGAGCAGCTTCACTGAAATCAGTGGAGTCACTCCAGATTCAGGCTGGAATCTAATTGAGGACCGGCTTTGCACAATGCACTCCATCTCCAGTTTGTCCCACTAACCGGCTCACTGTTACACCCTGGTTTTCTGTGCATCCCACCTAGAAAAGATGAGGGATCTGCTCTTGGCGGGGGGGCGTGGGCAGCCCTTTGGTGTTAAGCCTGCAAGCAGACACACATGCGATTTGACTTCTGATGGGCATTGCTATCGCCAATCTAAGACAAGAGCCCTCCAGGCCCGCAGAATATTTGCTTTCTGTGCATGGAGACACAGAGGAGCCAAATCTGCCTTTCCTATCTCCAGTTTCCAGGATTCCAGAAATGCTTTTGCAACGTGTGTAAAGACAACCCCCCAACGCCTGGAACGAGCTCACGCTGGGCGGCCGAGAAAGGCTGTTTCCTTCCCGCGCCGCTGCACGCTGCAGGGGCAAAGCATCCAACACCCCTCTCCTGGACCAAGGCGGTCCCTGCCACATGTAATGCTCTGTCCCATCTGTCCCCAGCAAGGAGGTTGTTCCCCCAGCCTGAAGTCTCACAGTTGCGAGGGAGGCCGTGATCCCTTTTCCCCCTCTATGAGATGCATGCATTGGATGCTGTAAAGACAAACCCAAGTCCTTGGGGGCTCAGGGAGTAATTAGCAGAGCCTGGCAGGACCCGGCAGAGGCACTCACCAGAGGTTGCAGTTCTCTCTGTACGTGGCTCCAACCGGGTACTTGTGTCCACCACGGACGCACACTGGGCAGGAGCAAGAAAACACAGTGAGAAGCTCCCATGCAAGGAAGTGTGTGAGGCAGGTGGCATTATTACTGCCATTTCTGCTCTGAGGAGGCCCGTGAGCTTTCAAGGACCTGGGCCTCTGTGAATAAACTGTCCCAACTCACCTGCTTTCAGCCTCACATCGCAGCCTGGGGCTGCTCTACCCCCTAGGTCAGGCTGTAGCTTGGCCCTGCCTGGCAGCAGATGGCCTGGTCCATGTGTCCCAGAGCAAGCATCCACCTGGCGCCCAAATCCAATCTAAATGCCGGTGCTTCCCCCCACCCCTGGGAGCACCTTCAAGCTTGAGTGCATTTCCACTCGCTCACCAAGGTCCAGAGAGAAAGAACGAGGTCACGGGGGGCATAGAAGAGCAGGGCACTGGGCATCTTCTGTGCAGAGTCCCCACCCAGTGCTGTCACTCCTGTACCATGCTCCCAGACTAGCCCATGCTCCTCTTTCCAGCTGCTCCAGCTTCGCTTCACACTGCCCAATGCTGATGTCTGGCTTCCCAGAGCATTAACGGGTTAAATGCCTTCTTGGAGGTGGGGAAGAGGCAGGCGCATCCCCGGCTGTGCAGCTGCCCCTCTGATCTAGCTGATTGCACAGCAGTCCCTTACCCCTCTCCTCTCCCTCCCTGCCCCAGGGTCTGGTGGCAGCCGCTGCCCGGAGTGCAGCCAAAAACTGCTTTATCACCCATGGGACCGCCGACCGAGAGGGCATGACCCTGGCTGGCTTGGGGTTTGATGCCGGAGGAGTTAAGCATGTCTAAGGTGTGACACGCTCCTGCAGACATGGAGTGCTTGCGTCACTGCCTACAAGGGGCATTCGCAGGATGACCTAGCGTGCCAGGCTGCCAGGGCACGCAAACAACTCCTAGATAAAGGAGCTAGTGACAAATGCTTCATCCCTATGCATGAGCTGGCTCCGGTCCTCAATGACTTCTCAGAAAGAGGCTTGCCACAAGCCCCAGAGGCAGGGACCTCCTGCAGTGTGGGGACAAGTCCTGCTCGGGTGAGTCAGTGTGGCCACAAGAATCTCAAGCTCAGCCCTGGACATCCACAAGCACCAGGTCCTGCTCACTACAGAAGCCCCTGTGGCCCCATTTCCAAGGGGATGGGTGTCATTGGTGTCTTGGCCCCTTCTTCCAGGATCACTCCCCTGGTTTTCAAAGCAAATGGGGGATGCTTGTGCCCCAACTTAGCCCACAGGGCGCCGCAGCCAGAGCTGCCCCGTCCTTGCCCGGTAGCGGCCATGTCGCACCCACGGGCAAAGCAACCCACGGCTGGACACAGCATTAGATTCTGCCTCCGGCTACACCCGGCTGCAATCTGGGGGCTAGGGACCTGCCGGGGTTTCTCCAGTGTATGAGGATGCAGCGGGGCTAGCAAAGGGTCAGTACGTAGCGTGCAAAACCGTGCGGCTCCACAGAGGACATGGGTTGACACCAGCTAACTAGCAAGCCCTGTGCCCCTACACAGAATATGCTGGGCCACCTCTCGCTCCTAGCTGAGCCCGGTCCCGGGGTCTGCACAGGGGTAAAGAGGATCCTTTCCTATTTCACCAGGATCCCTGCACCCGGCACCTCTGGAGGGACGGCTCCTCACTCCAGAGACATCCAGAGCCCGAGGAAAAGCTGCTGGTGACTCCCCCCTTCCCACCGCCCAGCGCAGAGAAAAGCAGCTATTGTGTGCGCAGAGCTGCTGGCTCACAGCTGCGGGGGAAATGACCACATCCTCGGGGCCCTGCGAGAAGGGTGACCAGGAAGGCCCCATGGACTGGCGTCAAGGGCAGCGTGACGCAGAGGGGAGCGGGGGGCTAGGCCGCCCCGTGTCTGGGGATTTGCCCCATGGATGGGATGGAGGGAGGGTGCTGGGGCAGTGGCCAGGGACCACACGCCTGGCACTTGCCCCCACACAGGTGCCCGAGGCCTCCTTACCTTTCTGCACGGCAAAGGGCGGCTCGATGCCCAGGCAGTACTCCCAGAAGTCGGGGCAGCAGTCGGACACGGTGCGGTTGCAGAAGAGGTCGCAGTAGCAGATGGTGTCCAGGTAGGGCACGGTGCAGCCGTCGTCCCGCCCGTGGCAGCACGCATCCTTGCTCTCGCAGTACGACCCGCCGGCGTCGCGGATACCCTGCTCGTGCAGGCCGGGCGCCAGCTCCCGCCGCGCGCGCCCCTTGCGCCCCTCGCGCCCCTCTGCCGCCGCCAAGAGCAGCAGGAGCGTGAGACCTCGGAGCAGCCTCATCTCACCTCCGAATCTGCCGGGGGAAAAGGAGGATGGAGGGAGGGTGAGCTGGGGGTCTCCAGGCCTGGGACACCGCCCGTCTCTGGGCATGAGCACCCAGCTCATGGCAGCCTGGCACAGCAAAGCAAAGGGGCGATCAAAGCCCCTCCTTGGGGGGCCTGGGATCCTCCCAGTGGGTTGGGTGGGAGCAGTGGCCCCAGCCCGTCCGCCCAGGTGGAAACTGGTGGATCTAGGGCTGCTGAAGGGCC